TAAACAAGGAGACCATCCAGAAGAGTCGCTGGAGATCCCGAATTCGTCTGGGGTCCGTGGTTAAAGCCAATGGTGATTTTATTGAATAAATTTACTCTCAATTTCAAGATATTTATGTGTAATTTTGGTAAATATAAGATGTCAGTGCTATTTTCATTTTTGCATTATTTAGACGGCAATTTACCCATCGCTCTCTCTCTCTCTCTATATATATATATATATATATATATATATATATATATATATATATATATATATATATATATATACTCTCTCTCTCTCTCTCTCTCTCTATATATATATATATATATATATATATATATATATACTGGACTCTCTTGTATGTGGGTGAAGCAACTCACTTCCTAGAAACTGACATGACAGCCAGACTACCTGCACAAATCATTTGATTATAGTAGCGAATGCCTTGTGCTTTGTGCAGAACCAACCACACTTTTTGGAAGAGCCGAATACAGAGAACTGGTGTACAACGTTCCACAAGGTCCACAAACAACCCTCCGCAGGTTTTGAATTCAGAGTTGTCCTTCTCCTATTCCGGTTATCACCCAGTCTGTCCTTCTCTTTATCCATAGCTTGGTTGTGGTGGGGAGAGAAGAAGAGGATTCATACCTTTCCCAATAGTAAGTGAATGCAATGGATTCGACTGAATTTGAACTCAATCCGAGCTGCTGTCCATTACACCACCATGCCTGCTATATATATATATATATATATATATATATATATATATATATATATATATATATATATATTTATACGTTATTTTTATGGATACAAATTAATAATTAGTAAGTGCTCTGTTTTACTTAAGCAGTATTAATTACATTTAACGGTCTAAATGTTGGAGAAATTTCGTAGAAAATATGTTTTCTCCGACAGGAATTGAACCTGTATCCCATTAGTAAACCGTCTGTTAACCTTTCAGTCTCAGAGAACTTCCGGTTAGCAAATTCCAAATTACTGCTTATAAATACACATCTTCGACGATCTCTCTTGATAATTCATTTCTGCTCCGAAACGTAACCTAACGTAAACAATGACAACATTTTAAATGAAATGGATTAAATCCAACAAATGTCTTAATATATTTTTTTTTTGTTTTTACGTTATTTTTATGGATACAGTTTATTTTGAGTAAATGCTCTGTTTTAATTAATGCTGTTTAATTTACCGGCCTGAATGTTTCTTTGTACTGCTTATTTGGTTGGCTTTGTCTCCTGTCACATAGCAGCTTTCCGTACAAAGAGGTATCTTTTTCCAGTTTTTTGATGTGTCTGTAGTAGAAGGTCCGCGTTTTGCATCCATAGAGGAGAGAAGGGACGGCTATTCGGCTGCACATTTTTAGTTTTGTTCACAGGTGTATTTTATGCTGTGCTGATCTGTTGTTTTCTTAAAGAACCTACTCAGTGCAGGACTTGCTTTGCTGATTTGAGCATCGATTTCTTTGTCCAAAGAACCATCCTGTGTTATATATATAACATTCGTCCTCCACATGTGGAGGTGACCTTGACTTCGTGACTTTAATAAAAAAAATTCCACTTTGTCTCATTGTGTTCTCTCTCCCTCCCCCCCCACACACGCACGCACACACACGCACTACATATATGGGTTACGCCACCTATAGTCATGCAGTTTTCTCAGCAAGGTCTTTGTTCTTAATTGATTTTCCGCCTCATTTTGTTAATTCTTGTCATTCTTCGAATTATTTCTGTTTGGTTAGGCGTAAAATGTTGACGAAACATCCTTCGTTTAAAATCTTCATCTTTGCGTTGTTTTATACCAAAAAATTATATGATTGATAAATGTTTTGTCTTCTTTAAATTGAAATGAATTTAAATTTAGTCATGGTAGTTGTTTCCAGACTAGATTTGAACTCGCAACCAACACCCCGGAAACATGTTATGTCATGCGACAATGCTTCTTTCATGTGGCGCAACGAAGACCCCCCAAGTAGCAGGTGAAAAGAAACAACAACAACAACAAAAAATGCCCTGTTTGTCGCTATCTTTTATTTTCAGCGTTTTGTCAACTAGCAATACAGTAGTTCTTCAAATTTTTATGAGATTAAATATTTCCACGAAGAATAGACCAAAAATATTCAGAAATGAAGAGGCAGCAATATATCTTGTGGAAACAACATGTTACAGACTTTAAAAAATAAAGAAAATTATATTCTAATAAAATATCGAAATCTCTAATTTGCGATACGGCTAAAATAGAAAGCAGTGACGACAGTAGTTTCGGTAGTCATTAGACCACTGGATACGATCATAACTTTGAACGGGTAATTTTGGAAGCTCACAGGGTAACCAGATACATTGGATCTATAACAGATTCCGCTGTTCCTGTTATTTCAGGTAAAGATACAATTCCGTTAAGTTTCGGCTTCTGTGTAGATTTTTTTCTTCCTATGTGCCGTGTTCTTTCAGGACGTGGGTGATCATGACTCTCCACCTCCCTCTATCCCTTGAAGCTCTCAACAAGTTCCTTCCATCTGCTTCCTCCTCCAGACCACGTTCTGTCATCCAGTTGCTTAAGCCCGCTAGGTATGTCATGCGTTGTTTTCCCTTGTCTCCCTTTCCATCTATTCAGCCCGTGAGTGTCAGATTCTCTAGGCCCTCCTTCCTCATTGTGTGTCACAGGAACTTCAGCTGCCTCTTCCTGTTTATGTATGAGCCTCCTCCTTGTTTGCATCCTCATCGTTGCTCACACGCTCGGTCCATGATATCCTCAGCATCCTGCTGTAGAACCATATCTCCGTCGCCTCGAGTCTCTTCTTCATCTTTGAGGAAATCGTCCAACATTCGCTGCCGTAAAGAAGGACAGATGTCACGTAACAGCTCACTACTCTTTTTTTTGTTACCAAAGAGATCCTCATGTCTCGCAATACTCTTTTTGGAATACGTCCTTGGCCATCCCAGTATGTGTATGGATCTAAGAGTCGATACAAAGCTTATATTTAGCAAATTGGGTTAGCCAAAGAGGGTCATGTTTTGTGTGATCAAAGGACGCGTTCTTCGGTAAAATGACTTGATTAAAGAAGGTACGTGACTCCTCACGAATCATATGGCCAACTAAATAGTCAGCACCAGCTCCTGATATTGATTTGGCCATGAAACGCATGTATTAAAACGCATGATAGAGAGTCATGATTGCCTACTGTTGTAACCTAGGGAAGGTTACTGAATAGAATAATCAAACGAAGGTTGGTAACGAACGATAATACTTAGGACAAGAACAACACATATAAGATTCACCAAGGCGCATACAAGTAGTAGTCAACTGCTAGAAGGGAATTCTTCAATGAATCTCCAACTGCAGGCTATCTACCAACCGCCCTCCGCGGTCAGATGTTGCACAAGGCCGAATTTAATGTGGGGTATCCGAGCCCGTTGGCTCGTCCAAAAATTCCCCGTACACCCCGTATAAAACAGGGTCGCATAATTGTTTCCTGGGTCGAAACTCTGCTCTTCGACATAGCCTCGTCTGGGGATCCTCTCTGCCCGGAGGCAGAGAGTTTGACCAGCATAGCTGGAGACAAATCTCCAACTGCAGACCAACATACAGTATTTACTACTGTATTTATGTGAATAGGGACATGCCCATTATCGTCCGTAGGCATGCTACAACACCTACGTTCAGAAGGTACAAGATATTCTTAAAATAAAAGCCTATTGTTTGCAAGTTTGTTTGCCTGAAGGTATTCTTTGAATATATTCTTGAACCAATGTTAACTTAATGAAAGTCTTGAAGGAATAAATTTTCATCTAGTTAAATGCTTGACTATTTTTCAGATTCGAACCTTCCCTTTTATTAGGTGTTTTCACTATAAAGTGGGGATTACCCCACCTTGTATGAACGAGGTAGTTGTTGGTCACCAATTTGTCGCAGTAGGAATTGCTACCTTCAAAATAAATGAATTCAAAGTTTTAAAAAAAAATGACTTTCAATGCGCAGAGGAATTTCACATATATATTTATATAAAGAACAATTAGCTCACAAATGAAGGAAAAGGGAAAATTCTATTTACGTGTATGTAAATAGTTTTAAAAACGAAAGAAAATATTTGCGTATTTATCCGTATTTGTATAATGTCCACGGGATTTGTTTGAAATTTAGGTATTCGACTGGCAGACGATTAAGTCTTCTATACAGGGGAAGACTTGGCACGACTACTACCTACCAAATCCTGTTTACGAATGAGTTTAAAAGAGAAGTAAGGGAATCTTTTCCTTTTATAATCATGAATAGAACGCCTGCTAGGTGGTGTTCCAGTAGATATTGGTAGGGTAATTCCCACAGCATTCAATACTCTAGATATTAAAATATGATAACTGGGATTCTGATTAAAGGAATAAAAAGTGACAGTAACAAGACACGTTCTTCAGCTTTATCGCAATTGCTTGCTTGATTTTCTTTTTCCTTTGACCAAAGGAGGGAAATAGAAAAAATATAGAAAAAAGTAATCATAAAAACACCTTTTTATATTTATAACGATAGTGTTGATAATGACCCATAGTAACTTGATGCTGGTTATTGTAACGACATTGAAGATGATGCCGTTCATTTAAGAAATCCGAATACTGCCTTAAAATGCTGTACCGGAAGTTAACATAATTAATAATCACCATCTATCTGAAATACTTATAATACAACGTCCAAGACTTATTCTGTAATTTTAAGTTGAACTATTAATCTTTTTTTCATTACCTTAAAGCCATATCCAAAGAAAACAGGAATATTTGGATATGGCAGACGATATCTAACGCGATTAGGGATCTCATTACTGTAATGATATTACTGCGCAGACTCATTAGAAAACGAGACTGAAATATTTTATACGTAACATTACAATTTATTCTATGACACTACACACCGATTGGTGAAACCTAGTAGAGTTAACATTCTACTGCGGGGCCTTTGAATAATGCTTCCATTGTACTCTTCCGGCTTTCCATGAGATCAGGTGATATTGAAACCAGGAAATGCTGCGCGATGATAGTTTGGCATCATAATCCAGCGGAGACAAAGAGAAGGAAGAGTCAAAGACCTCTGTGATGGAAACGTCGGCGAGGCGGCCAAAGACTCCGCTATAACGACTGCATCAAGAGAGAGAACCCTGAAAGTGATTCAGATCGATGCAAACAACTCGGAACAGTAAGCTGCGGTAAACTGTTCATGACGAAACAATCGAAGCATCGAATCTGACCATTTACCAGCGAACATCGACCCAGAGATATAGTCGTCACCTGATTCAAACAGCCGAACCTTGATGAATCTCCTTCTTGCCGAATACGACAGCCAATTGATGAGTATGAGAATATGTTGACCGTTTGAGTCGGGACACACATACAATTCACCCATCTGATTTAGCACACACATGCATTACGCCAACTGTATAGAATGATTCATACAGTTCTATCAACTAAGTCAGGACACGCATGCAATTCTACCACATGAGTTAGGACACT